GACCAGCTGGTCGAAGAGCAAGCTGAGTGAGGTGCTGGTGGGGCTGGTGGTGGAGGGCGAGGCCGGGCGCTGCGAGATCAGCGACCTGAAGCACGTGGAAGGCGAAGCGTCCTGCAGCAGCCGCAAGGGGAAGCTCATCTTCTTCTACGAGTGGAACCTGCGCCTCAGCTGGAAAGGTACGGGGCTTGGGGGGAGGGAGGAGGGCACCCGCCGGAGGTTCAGGCCCCCGGCCGGCGAGGGAGAGGCTCCCTCGGGGCTCGCTTAGTTTTTCCCGGGTGAAAGGAGCGCGGCGGCTGGGGGCCCAGCGTGCCGCCTTCCACCCGGGGCCCCAGCTTTCAGGGGAAGATGTGCGCTGAGGGGGGTTGCCTGCGAGTTTATCGTGGTCTTTGCGCAGCTGGCTCTGCTAGTTTGCGCTGTGGGATCGGGTGTGATCGCTTCGGAAAGTAAGCTCTCGTTTGGGTTGGAAAAACGGGAGTATTTTAGTGAAATAAAATTGTAGGGAGATTGCAGGGGGCACGTGGGCCTGGGCTGTAATAAATACTAATTTTTAAATAACCTCGAGACCTCAGCTTGTCTTCTTCCCCCACTTCACACGGTTTTTTTTGTACCGCACACATTTCTTAGCATTGTTTTCACAGCTTATCAGCAGAGTATTACTCCATTTCGCTTTGCAAGAAGTAAATGCTTCGATTGTGGCGAGATGTGCACTGCTTGCTAGTGTGCTTGAACTGTTTCAGTTTCCTAGTGTGTGCAAATGACAGCTGTCTGCTTAATGCACGTTGATAGCAGGAAATAGAAATGACAAAGTGTAAAAGTGCAGATGTTTCAAAAAAATAGTGTCGTTTACATTGAGGGGAATGAATTACACGAGGAAAAAACCTGTTTAGTAGGAATGAGGTAACTAGAAATAATTCTGGATTATTTGGGGTAACGGGGGCTCTCTCCATGCCGTTCTGTTGCGCTGCATCCGCTCGCAGCCCCAACTCCGGGAGGTTCATCCTCCGCTGTGCTTGTCCCGTGGCAGTTCTTTATTTGCAGACCCACCTGATACCATATCTTTTGGTAAGGTAACCTCAAGGTTAACATCAAGGAATTATTTCCATTTATTCGATGCATAAAACTTGATGGCAAGTTATGGACTGTCTCTTGCATTAGAGTGAGAAGCAGGAAGAGCTGGTAAAAAGCGCCTGCGTGGGCAATTGTACATGGGTATCGTAATGCCAAATGGCAAGCTGTTCCTCCCCAAAATACCGTACTTACTTCCCGGGCCTCAGTTGTTACTATAGGAGGTGGGAATACCAACGGCCATACTTCATTTTCCCCTCTTCACTCCTGTGGCCCAGAACAGGACTGTAGCTGCTGGATCAGTGTCTCGGGTAATGCCGCTGGCTGCTCCAGCGGGCTGGCTGCATTCTGCACTTCTCCTTTTCATGGTGCCCTGTCCCATACAGTTCTTCGGCACCGCGTTTTTCCTGGTTTGGCTGATGGGGACTTAAACATTTACTGCTGGGATGAGTGCTTGTATTTGAACAGGTCTGGAATGGAGGTCTGCTCCCACAATAACAGGGAACTTAAGTACTGTTACTTAGACAGTTAGCTATGTTTTAAATGGCACAAATGTGTTATAAACTAATAACGTAATTATAATTGTGATCTAAATGTTAACAGAGAAAAACAAACATTATACTGTCGTGCAGTTTATATCAGTACACTTTAAATAATTGTAATGAGCTTTTTGTTGTTTTGGGTCTTACAGATAAGCTAATAAAATCACCTGAGTTTTAAACACTGGATAGTTTGTGTTGGGTTTTTTGTTTATTTCAGTGTATAAAGCTTAGAAGTAGGCAGAGGCAGTATTTTGTTTGTATTTCTCTACGAATTCTTTCTAAATTCTCTTTCCTCTGCTAGGTCTTTATCCTTTTCAGTGTTTAACTACAGACAACTCTAATTTGCGTTAGGTGCTTTGCTCAGGTGAGTGTGGCACTGAGTGGATAATGTCTCTGAGAGCTTAGTTTTAAAGGTGTTTGCTACTACGCAGTGAAATTCTAAAAGAGCAGGGGCTGATAATTTTTTTTTTTTTTAATTTGATAGCCATCATGTTGTGTGTTTTCTTAGAGCCCTGAATTGGAAATTAGAGTTCAGACTGAATTGCTAAAAACACTAATTGCTGTAATTAGTTCCTTCCACAAGTCTTCTGGGATAACTAGGAGCTTGGGCTATGATTAAAATGTGGATACATAAGGACAAGATGATGTAAATCCTAAAATGTGCAGCTGGTTTGGAAAGCACAATGTTGGAAAAACATTGCCCTTAGCAATTTAGATTACAGAGCAACAAGGAAGTGAGGAACGAAGGGTACCCAATGGCACTAAAATCAAGCAAAATGGCTGTTCTCCCTTTCATTTGTTTGAGGATGTAATGAGGATTTTAATGGATTATTCTACCTTATGATGGAAGCTTTATGAAAATATGTATCTCCTTCGAAAACTTCGGTATCTCAACCATGAAACAAAAAATGGTTTATTCTCAGGTCTGTTATTGGTGTCCCCTAGGATTCAAACAAATAATTTGATTGTTTGATAAAAAGGTAATAGTTTTGCTTATATTACAGTGATATTAAAAATGCAAAGTTGTGCCAACGTTCTGCCTGCGCAGTGTTCAACAGCCAGTTCTGTTTGCTAACTGGTTGGACTTGCTGTCCAGCGCAGATACCATCTGCATTTAATCCCTTGGACAAGCAATTTAATGAAGGGCAGGGAAAAAAAAAGCCCATTTACTGTTTTTATGAATTTAAATTTGTTGTTCCAGCCTGTGTTATTTGGCAATCTTTATTTTAAGAGTTGTGAAAATAAAGTTAGCCGAATGGATCAAAGTCAGGTTTGTGGTTTGCTCCTAAAAACTTCCTCCTGCATGCTTGCACTTTCTTTCTGGGGAGAGTAGCTCAAAATAAGACTTGCTTTACTGTCTGCAAAGACTGTTATGTGGTTTTGCCTGTGCTAATCCTGGAGCTGGAAGAAAGCAGTGAAGAGAAAATTGAGATGGCTGCACACGATTTGTGTTGGGCCCAGAAGTGTTCTAGTGGTATAATTAACTAGTTCACATGGCTTTGTGCTGGAGTGAACATGTTCTCCTGGGAGACCTTGAGAAGCCCAGGAGAGGTTTTCTAGAGGTTTTTAGCCTTGTTGCTGTGTGGAGGCCGTCGTCTACTTCTGGGCTAACAGACTTCGCATCTTGAGCCACGCTTCATTGACTCGGCTCCTGACTAGGCAGGGCTCCTTGCACCGTACTGCACTTTGTGTTATTAACCATCATTTGCTCCTCTTCTTGCTAAGAAACGTCAGTGCGTGTGTTTGTGTACTTCACTGCGATCTTGATCGGTAGCACATCAGATTATACCTGTGCATAGGGCCCCTCTACAGCGTGGTGGTTGTTTCAGGGTAGTAATTAAAAATAATGAGAGTGATGTTAAGTCATAGCTGGATCCAGCTAGCTTCTTTGAAGGTGAGAGACTCCAAAGAAATATTGTGTGTACCTTCATGATAATTCCCCTTCTGCAGTCATGCTTAACGCTGGGTTGTTTATATTTTAGAGTTTTGCTGATAGACGGATAAAGCCTGTTGCCGCGTTGCGTATGCTTTGACAATTGAGCTGATACATCGGTATGAAGATAGCTGGCTTTGGGGCAGAACTGCATGTTTCTGCTGTTGCTTGCTAAAGAGATGTTAACGTGATCTACCAAGTGAATAAATTTAAATAACAATGCTTTTGCAAGGCTAGAGGGAAGAGTCTTCAGTGGAAATTAAGAAAGGCATCAGACCTTAAATTCAATCTTTTTACAGTAAGGACTGTGAGGTAAAGAAGTACGGTCCAGGGTTCACATCCCAGAACATATTCATAGAGCTGTGTAGGTGAGTGATGGCGGGCCTTCACCCAGAAAGATGCAGAAAGGGAGCGTAATTTCTGTTCTTGCAAAGTCCTTCTGACATGTACAGTGATTACTGGCAGTGATTACTGGCAGTTCGTGGTTGTAATGTTAAGAGTAAGAATAATTGTTCTAAAAAATTTGCAAGCGAGGTTTTGTATTTTTAAAAAATTTCAGTTGTATACCTGTCCATTGTACATACATATGTTTTATGGTGACATGCTTGTGCGCTGGGAGCTTTTCAGATGCTCAGGAAGGAATAGCTAGCGTTCTGGGGAGCTGCTAAATACAGGGCAGATGAATTGAGGGGAAGAGGAGGTTATTTCTCCCCCCTGCCCCCATTTAGGGCAGACCTAAGTTGCTGTAGGCGGGGAGGGGGGGGGCATTAGGACAGCTGGCAGTTAAAGGTGGGAGCAGCAGCAGGACTGTGCTCAGGCACGTACATGTCTTCATGCACCTATGCAGGAAAAGGCAGTTCTGGGAATAGTTCACTCTGAAAGTACTGTGACGTGTCTGAGACTTTTGGTTGCTATTTAGTTCCTTTAAATTAGATTCTAGGCAATTTGCTTCAAGTAACGCTTTTGTACAACTAATTTCCGAGATGAAACTCTTGCTATGGGGGAAATAGTTTTTAATAATGCATTTAAGAATTCGTTATGTTAATACAGGTACAGTGAAAGAGTCTGGTGAGAAACATAAGGGATCTGTTGAAATTCCTAACCTGTCAGAAGAAAATGAGGTAGATGATACAGAGGTAGGTGTGAAATACTGGTATGGCTATATAGGTTCAGAATTCTTAAATAAAGCAATTATCAACTTATAGGCATCGTATTTTGATTTATTCCGTGATTAAGTGGGATAATTACACTTGGATAGTTTATTTCATGTTTTCATTTTTTACTTGGAGTAATGATTTATCTCTGTTCTCAAACTTAGCTACTAGGAATGTGCACGGTTTTCTTTGCTAATTATTGTTTGTGATGATAGACTAACTACAGATTTGAGAAGAACTCTGCTTGTTGTAGTCGTAAAAAACCCCAGCAACTCCCCTCAAACATAAGAACTTAAGGAATCTCCTTGTTGGTTGTGTAGCAGTTGCTGCTTTGGCTTCCACAGATTCCTCAAGCTCTGCTGTGTCGTAGGCAACTCTGTTTATACTTGCTAAACTTGACTAAGCTACTGTGGAGATGAGATAGATACTACCGTTTTATTTAAGTCAAAACCCAAGAGGACTTATTTTTAGCAAAGATGGGATAAACTGACAAGATAATGAACTTGAAATTGCAGCTGTCCTCTGAATATAGTAAACAAAGCCAGAATACTTTCCTTTGTTGCCAGAACCCAAAAGGCTCGTATTTAGCTGCCTCTTAGGTCTTGTCATTTTTCCGTTTCTAGATAAATGTTAGCAAAAAGAAAGGGGAAGGCGATGTTCTAAAGGACCTCATGAGAACTGAAGGAACCACAATAGTCAGGGAGGCCCTGAGAGATTACCTGAAAGCACTTAAAACAGGTAAGTTAAACCACTATGTTAGGTGTGTTCTTATGCAAGTGTCTTTCTCGCAGAGATTGGCAATATATTGACAAATCCTTGGGTTTGTTGTTTGGTTTTGGTTTTTTTTAATTGTCACTGGCTGAGATGAACTAAGTTAGTCCTGCCAGTCCAAATATTTATTGCTGTCAAACATGGCAGTGTCCAGAAGTTTCTGTAGCAACCCAGGCTGTATGTGTTTGTTAGACATCCTGACCTCAGAGATGACTTCAAGACCTGCGGGCTGACCGGTTGACTAGCAAAGCCACACCGTACCCTTGGCTTGTAATTTCTCTGCTGTGCTGCTCAGAAATTCTTGGGAGATGGTTGTACAGCTCAATTTCATACTGAAGAGTGCTTTTCTTTATTACAGAGTTTACCTCGGGAATGATTCTGCCAACAAAAGCTGCTGTTGGTCAGGAGCTGGCTGCTGAGCGAAAACCAACTGGGAACACTGTGCAAGTATGTCAGCTTTAAGCCTTGTATGTATGTATGTAATGTTACCACAAATATGGTCCCTATAGATTTTGCTATGCTAACAAACAGTCGCATATTCCTGTGGTTACCTGTGAAAGCAAAAGCCTTTGGGGTGGAGCTGCCTCCTCACTGCTGTAGATTGGATAATTAATGTATGTTCACAGCACAGTATGTTTAAGAATGCACAGGTAACAATAGTCCTGCCATTCCAGACATTTTAAGCATTCGATCTTGCAATCATTCTTGTGAATATCGTTCGCTTTACAGGATTCTGTTTCACCACAGTCTTTGGATATAGTTGGTGTAAAAATTCCAACCGTGAAGATACTTATGAGAGAAATATTCAACTCTCCAGCGGACGAACTTTATAGCGTCTTCACAACTAAGGAGGTAAGTGATACTTTCAGTAGACAACATAACTCATTGCAGAGGCTGTTATATCTGAATAGGAAGTGCGTAGTAATAAACATGTCACATCATTGACAGTGCAGATAACATTCCTTACGTACGTTAAATGGTGAGATGTAAGCATCCAGAAGCTGAAGGCTTCATGAGCTACCCTGTTCTCATAACTGAGTAGCTGTAATTCTGATTGTCAGCGTTTGCTCTTCGAGTTTTGCTGAACAGCTCCACCTTTTAAGCCGCTGAGGAATTTGAGGGGTGAAAATGCAAGGGAGGTGACAGCAGCCGAGGCCGTGTGTCAGTGTGGTCTGCTGCTGCGGGGCAAAGGCAAGGTAGCTGAAAGCACTAGAAGGTGGCAGTGGGCTCGTGCCGCTTTTACCGTCTCTTTAATGAGAGCTTATTAGGGTGGCTCAGACTTTTTTTTTTTTTTTGGCCAGTTGTTACCTTAATAGGAAGAAAAGCCAGCTAAAGAATGTGATGTTGCACCTTTATGTAGTTTGTGCGCAGCTCAATCATGCTCTCCTTTGCTAGTCAGAAAGCGCGTTGCTTTTCTGTGTGTAAGTAAGTGTATGCTTGTTGTTCAGGGCCTGACGCGCTCGCTTGTTACCCACAGCCTAGTTAGCTAAATGGTTGGATGTGATGATACCATTGCTTATAGGGTATGAAATATAACATTACTGATTTTGGGTCCTTCAAAAGAGCCTGGGCTGATACCAGAGACTTTACATTGGCGTCCCAGCAGTAATAATGGCTCTCGGCCGTTCTTTCGCACCCTCCAGAGCTGCTGCTCTTTCTCCCTCATTTCCAAATCCCGCTTCAGCCAGGCATGGCTGTGCATAGGTATGTGTTGTGTCAGTGGAGTGCTGTATAAAATGAAAGTGCTTAAAGCCCCTTATGTATGTGTATTTTACAGTTTAATTTTACAGTTTAATTAACTTCTTCCAGCTCGTTTCTTCAGCAGCCTGTCCCATATATGGCACATTATCTATCAGTGCAGGTTTGTATTTCGCTGACTCATGCTGTATGCTTTCTTTTCTAGTTGGTGCAGAAGTTTTCTAAATGTCCTGCTGTGATTGAAGCTGAGAGAGGAGGCAAGCTTCAGATGTTTGATGGGCGCGTCAGCGGTGAATACGCAGAACTGGTAAAAAGCTCCTACTTGGCACTTCAAAAATGGGGGGTGGCGGGGTCAGCTGCTTCTCTGAGCTAAAAAGTAGCAAAAGTTCCCAACATTTCAGCTTCTCTAATGCATACTCAGTTCCTCTACTACAAAGCCAAAGAATTGCTGTTATGTCTTGTCATTTTTCTTCCCTAGCAAAAGAGCAGGCCCTGACTGCACCCACCAGCCTGCGCTGGGGGAGAGAACTCTCAGCACCGTCCTTTTTTCCTAGGAGCAGTGAGAAAGCAGGTTTCAGGTGTAGCTCCCACGTCCCTAGTGCTTGTTTGTGTAACCAGAGCAATGATCTCTTGTCTATTCTGGGCAAGTGTTACGCTCTGCCCAGCTGCATGCTTTTTCAAATAGAAGGGGAAGAAATTGATAATTAGAGCTCAGCTCCCATTTTTGAAAGCTCTGAAAAATTGTTTTCACAGTTGCTAAGCTTAGACTTGGTAGCTCAGTGTCCATCCAGCTGATGGGCAGGAAGTATCACCGGCAATTGGACAACTTTTTTAGAAGTAACTAATCAGCCTGACCTTTTTCCACAGAGGAAATGAAACATAACGTAGCAAGCAGAGAGCTTGATGAAAACAGTTTATTTAAAAAAAACCCAAACAAACACCAACAAACCCCAATCTTTGTATTGTTTACATGCATGTGTCTACTGTTACATAGGATAACGTGCTGCTCTTTATTTTTCAGGGGAGAATTAGCGCCGAGTAGTCGTAATGTGACTTGGCGCAAATGCTAACGGGGAGAACCCTCTTATCTTCGTACAGGTCCCGAGCCAAAGAATTGTCCTGAAGTGGAGGTGTAGAAACTGGCCGGATGGTGAGTCTTTTGGAGGGCCCCTGACCAAGGCTACGCTTCTCAGGGCGGTGGGACAAAGGTGGCGCGTGACAGCCCTACTCACTGGAAGCTCGCTTAGCCCGCGTTCTTTGGAGAACAGCCTGATGTCCAGAGCAGTTGTCATCTGTGAAAACAGGCTTCGCTCAGACACAGGCAAAAGCAGATCTGAAATTAGCAACAACAACTGTAATCCTTTCAAAACACTGTATTGAAATGTTGTATTTTCTGTCTTCAGAACATTACGCAACGGTGGCCTTGAATTTCAAGGATATGGCTGCTCAGACGGAACTGCAGTTAGAGTGCAAAGGAGTTCCGGTCTCTAACGAAGACAGTACAAGACACTGCTGGAAGCAGCAGTATTTTGAAGAAATCCATCTTTTACTGCAGCAGTCCCACGACAACATGGAATGATAACAGCACTCCAGTTTTGTTAGGGCATTACTTTTTATACTTGGTTAACATTTGGGTTTTTTTTTTAAAAAAAGTAATTTATTTGTGGGAAGAATTAAGACCCACCTCTACAATACTGTATATAATTTAAGCATTATTTATGGATTTTTAGTGAATGAGGTGGCAAGTAAGTCCGACTGTATATAACCAGCATAACTTGGGGAACTGAGCTCTGTCCTGCTTGCCTGCAGCTTCAGAGTCATCAAGATTCAGCTGCCATCGTAGGTGGGTAAGCTACGCGCACCAATAGGAAGCATGTGCAGTTCCTTAATGTGCAGTGTTATCGAGTGGCAAAATGAAATCCCTCTAGGAGCTGGGGTGCCCACTGGAGCAGAACAGACAGGGATTATGAAACTGCCACTACGTTACATCTGTCAAGAAATGGGGGGGATATAGTTTACAACCTCTTTAAATACTCCTTCAGATCGCTTTAAGTGCAGACTGCATTTGCTTCTGACTCTGCGGACAGTTTTAGGGAAAGATAATTAACAATGTGAGGTAATTGGGGTTGGTAGGACGGTTACCACTGTTATGTGTGCATGCACTGGACTCTCTCGCTTGACCTCTGTGTGGAATTTATTTTGGAAGAAACAAACAGTAAGAACACTTTCCTTTTGCAATTCTGGAAACCTCCAGTTCAATCATTTACGGCCCTCTGCAATTCTGTAGCTCAGATTAACGCAAGCAACTGTTTGTTAGAGAAATTTGACAGGAGAGCAGCTGGGATATCAAAGTAAACAATTGTTTATTTATTAGACCACACTGAGGTTAGCAAGGACAATTTAATTCTCAAATGCTTTATAAAAAGTGTATTAAGTATGCAATTTGAAACAAATTGACTAAAAAAGGGCAGGCTGCCTTTGGAAACATGGTTGGCTCAATAAAATATGTGATTCTACATGCAGTTTATTTTCTCCATTAACTGGTGCTACCAAACTAAATGAATTTGTATGGAAGTTAAATCCTATATATTTTATTTTTACAGGACACCAACATATGGCAACCTTACCACACATTAACTTATATCACGCAGAAGACAAAGATGTGCTGCTCTTTTCTACAGGCGAGGTTCTCCCTGCAAAGTTGGCAGACAGTTACCCCTTTGCAGTTAGGTGAGGTTTGCTGTAGTAACAAGAATGAACACCTCACAGTGACAGGACAGCCCTACAGACTGTTTACCAAGCGTGGCACTGCTGGTGTGTAAGGTGTCCAGCTAGAGGGTGGAGAACAGCCCCTTGAGAAAGGTTTCAGCATCTTTCTTTTTCTGAATGTTCAAAATTCAGTTACCTTTTTTGGACAAATACTCAAGGATGAAGGGGCAGCCTTTAAATCAAATAGAAAATTTTGTTTAACACCAAGATCAGGCTAAGCAGTTTTGTGTGTAGATAATCCAAGAGGTTTTGTGACATTTAGCACGTGAGAGGAGGCTGTTACATCTGGTCACAAGTTTCTTCAGACAGCGTACCCTGCAGCCCTAGTGCCCCTCTGGGAAGTACGCCTCACCCACCCCTGTCCCCCCGGTTTTGTGACATTTAGCACGTGAGAGGAGGCTGTTACATCTGGTCACAAGTTTCTTCAGACAGCGTACCCTGCAGCCCTAGTGCCCCTCTGGGAAGTACGCCTCACCCACCCCTGT